AATGATTGACTATCAGTTTTCTACTAGTTTTCTATCAACGAGAATATAATATGAAAATTAGTTACATATTCAATTGATCCTTTCAAATATTATAATTTCAATTTCTCCTTTACAAAACAAAATTGTATTTATAATTATTCTACCGAGGAATATATTAGACAATAACTAATCGATTGGGTAATTATTGAGATAATACTCTATATAATCTGTAATTGTCCAATGGAGAACAATTATTTCAATATATTGAACAGAACAAAACATACTTGAATATTATTAATAATCAATATTGTTTCCTTTGCAGTTGCGTAATATTCTCTAGATCTAAATCACAAATTATTACTTTTCTTTAAATTTAACACTTAAGAAATTGGAAATTAGTAGCTTTTTCACTTCATATTTCACTGAAAATTAGTAGAATTCTTTACTGATTGAAGCAGTCAAATCTGTTTTACCGATTAATGATAATGCAGATTTGAGTGTTCTGTTGTACCGATTACTGATAATGCAGATTTTAGTGTTCTGTTTTACCGATTACTGATAATGCAGATTTTTAGTGTTCTGTTTTACCGATTAATGATAATGCCGATTTGACTGTTGAAATCAGTCAAGTTTCCGAAAAAATTAACAATGTAACAATCTTAATGAGTAAAAAAAAGGGATTTTTTCATTGTTAGGAATTTTTTTAGCTAGTAGATGAGAAACTTTTCTTTCATTGGCACACAGAGGGTGTACTTATGAGTGCTTCTAGCCGGTTCAATTATCTCTAAATAGCCGTATAATCGTGGCGGTCGAGAACACATGGGAGATACTTGACAACCAAGAGAGAAAGAGAAGGGTTAGTATTCTTGCATTTTACCACCCTCGACGAATTCCTACATGCTCTTAACAACAAGCACCATTTTTCATTTTATATATATATATATATATATATATATATATATATATATATATATATATATATATATGTGAGAGAGAGAATTAACTCCCTCTCTTTTCACAGATTTCATCTTGTTCCAAAAATTCACTTCGAGATAATGAAAATTTGAATCGTGAAATTATATTTCTAATTTTCTCTACCCTTCAGAATTACATGCGAAAATTATTTCCAAATACTCATCTTAAGGACCTGGGGATTTTAAATAATTATATATCTTCTAAAGAGTATAATATGTATAATTCCAGAATAATGAAAATTTGTGTATATTCACTGAAAATACACAAACGTGAATTTAATGAGGAATTTTTCTTTTTAATTAAATAAAATTACGAATGAAAAATATATTATTTATTTTTCTACCAAATTATATTATAATAAAAAAGCAAAAATTTTTTTTGTTGTGTTTAAAAGAAACAGAAAATGTTTTTTGACTTGTGTAAATCATTTAAAAGTTTTCTTGATATTAAATTATCATGCTCATTGAACATGCAATGAAACAATTTTTCGCAAAATGCCTCTAAAATCTCATCAAGTACATAGTGAAATTGTTTTTAACCCGCACTTTGTTTGATCATACAAATCAAGTTGCCGAGAGTCAAACGACAGTCAATTAACTACCGTTCACCCCTAACCAACATGATTTCAAAGCTCTCTCCTAGTACAGGGAATCTGTCTCTCTCTCTCTCTTGTCCCCTTGTCGAAGTGACATAAAGCCCAGCCCGTTCGTTACCTAATCACATTTGGCACCGCGAGGTCTGAAAGGGTTAACCTCCGTTTCGACGAAGCAACAGAGGTCGAAACGCGCCTAGACTTGAGCGGATGTATATTTCCATGTTTCTCAGTGAAATACACGAATTGCGACCCCGAGATTTTGGCTCTCTGATGAGAAGGCAGGGGGAATGGAAAAAAAGTGAAATTGAAAATGGAGACCATAGGTGGAAAGAGGGTATAAACGAGAATGAAAAGCAGGGATGAGAATGAGAGAAGGAAAAAAGAGTGAATTTCAGGTGAAAAAAAAAAAAGAGAGAGAGAGAGAGAGAGAGAGAGAGAGAGAGAGAGAGAGAGAGAAGTGTATATGTGTGAGAAAGGGGAGAAAAAAAATTCAATGTGAGAAAAAAGGAAAAATTCTTATTGCAAGAGAAAGAAGAAAGAATCAATGTGAGATATGGAAGGAGAGTTCAAGCAGGGTTGAAAAAAAAACATGGTAAAAAAAAGGGTTAAAAGCAAAAAATAAACGAGACATATATACACCATTCTTTTGTATATATGTGATACATTTACTGATACACGTGCGCGAGCTTTACGTTTATTGTTCTGTATAAAATATTAAAAAAGATTTCCAGATGTTTATTTTATTTTTTTCAAAAAAAATAGGTATCATTCTGCATTTGTAGTAAATATATATAAACTGTAATGTTAAAACCAAGGATTTAAAAATCACGTCTTTTTTTTTTTGTCTAATTTCAGAAATTCTTTCCAAGGAGAAGGATGGATGCGACAAAATCAACGACTGGTGAGTAATTTAATTATTAACTAATTTATATTCTAAATAGAATATTATTTTTTCGAAAAATTTTGAAAAAAGATTTTTACAGTGTAGTTTTAATAATTTTCTCATCGTCAACATATTGCCACTCGGGAGAATAAAAGTTTCTCTTTCATAGAATTTGTTTTCCAGAAGCTTAATTTTAATGCTTTTTAAAAGACTTATATTTAATGGAAAATTTAAAAAAAAAAAAAGAAGGAAACAGTTTTAAATTTTAATATTTCACTCGATTATAAATTTTTTTTATCTATTTTTTAATTTTCACAATTTTTATACAAAGTCGTTTTTAATAGTGTTCTGAAATTGAGAAAATAGAGTAAAACAATTTTTTTTCTTTCAATTTTTGCATTCAATTAATAATTTAATAATGTTTTAAAGTCCATCAAATTTTCCCATGAATTTTAAGTAAGATATCAAATTTTTTTTTTTTTTAATATTTTCTAGAATCGTAAAAAAATTTATTATTCTCAAGGGATAAATGATATTTGTCTTTTGAGAAATATTTAATGATTCAAGAAAAAAAAGAGGTTAAAGGGGAAAAAAAATATTTTTAAAAACTGATTCCGCCATATTAGATTCGCCATTTTGAATTTTTGAGAAAATTCTATCGGACTTTTTGCCAGTGATCCCGATTCTCTTTCAGTAACGTGTTCTAAGAGAAAATATTTGCTTAAACTCCCCAAATAATGAGCTTCAAGCGAATAGAATCAATTTTTTAAAATAGTTCCGCAATTTTTGATTCGCAATTTAAAATTTTTAAAAATTGCTATCGAATTTACTGTCAGCGATTCTGAAATTCGCCAAGTAATGATTTTTAAGCAAATGTTTGCTTAAAAACCCCCAAGTAACCAACTTCAAGCAAACAAAAGCGATTTTTCAAAATACTTCCGCCATTTTGTATCCGACATTTTGAATTTCGAAAACTGCTATTGGATTTACAATCAGCGATCCTCAGACACGTCAAATATTGAATTTTTAGCAAATATTTGCTTAAACCCCCCTCCCCCCCCCCAAGTAACCAGCTTCAAGCGAATAAAAGCGATTTTTTAAAATACTTCCGCCATTTTGTTTCCGACATTTTGAATTTCGAAAACTGCTATCGGATTTACAATCAGCGATCCTCAAACACGTCAAATATTGAATTTTTAGCAAATATTTGCTTAAAACCCCCGAAGTAACCAACTCCAAGCAAAAAAAATTAATTTTTAAAACTTATTTCGCCATATTGGATCCGCCATTTTGAATTTTTGAAAAAAACGTTATCTGATTTGCTATCATCAATTCCAAAACTCTCCAATAAACAAATTTTTTTCGCAAATATTTGCTTAAAAATCCCCAAGTAACCAACTCCAAGCAAATAAAAGCGATTTTTTAAAATACTTCCGCCATTTTGTATCCGATATTTTGAATTTCGAAAACTGCTATCGGATTTACAATCAGCGATCCTCAAACACGTCAACTATTGAATTATTAGCAAATATTTGCCTAAACCCCCTCAAGTAACCAATTTCAAGCAAATAAAATTAATTTTTAAAACATATTCCGCCATATTGGATCCGCCATTTTGAATTTTTGAAAAAAACATCGAATTTGCTATCATCAATTCCAAAGTCTTCAATAAACAAATTCTTTTCGCAAATATTTGCTTAAAAATCCCCAAGTAAGGAGTTTTAAATTATTTTAAAACTAGTTCCGCCATATTGGATCCGACATTTTGAATTCTTCAATTCTACCACTGAATTCAGTGTATATATTTTGTCATATTCGAATTATCAAATTCAAAAATCAAATCTGTAAAATATATAATCTAGTTTTTGATTATAGAAAATTATTTATCATAAATCGTATATAATTGACGTGTTATTTTCCACGTATATTGAGGATAAAAAAGTAACCAAATAATCCGCTAATTTTCCTTTTTAATTCACCCTTTTTACTTGTCAAGTACATGCATGTATACCTTTGATAAAATGAGTAAATACATGTGTTCATTTGAATCCACACATACGAATATAAGCGCACTCGATTGGCGACGAGCTGCGCGGCATTGGAAGTGAAAGAGGAGGTTGCTCAAGAGGAGGAGAGTAGAGAAAGGGGGTGAGGGAGGGATTTGAGGGGCGCGATGCTAAAACCCAAAGAAACATTCTGATACTATACAGCGCGAACCGACAGTTTCTGTTCCGAGGTCGGTCGGTTCGCGATTCTCTTTTGCGATGATGCTTCCAAACATCTCTTAATAATTGCTCTCTCAAAAAAAAAAAACTTTACTCATCAGAAACCAAAATTATAAATAGAGATAGAAAAAATAAAAGAGGTTTGACCTTGAACTTCCTTGTGGATTCACGATCCATGTAATCAGAAAAAGAGATCGTTTTAACAGATCGATAATAGTAATCGTCAAAGAGTGGTGGGGGAGCGATAAAAGAAAGATAGATAGAGAGAGAGAGAGAGGGGAATTCGCGCATGGCGAACCGTTGCCTCTCCACCTCCGGAAAACGTCGCGTGCTCTCTTGCAACTTCAGTTCGTTCTCCGAGAACCGCGCTCGGGGTGATTCGCTCTGATTCATTGTGTATATGTGATTCGCAAAATTAAAGCGATTTCTATTTGTATAAAAAAACATGAAGTGTCGTGCATTTTATTTTCAAAATTAGTTTTTTTTTTGGAAAGTCTAATTTACTGGTAAAGGAAATATTAAGGAAATTCTTTCAAAATCAACAAGAAGCATTTTTTTTTTAAGGATTCACAAATCCAATACAAGTGACATTGATGGATATCGCCTGGCAGACACTGTTGTTAAGACGTGAAAGTCTAATCAGTATTCTTAGTATCAATAAATTGGAAGATTTACAAGCGAAGGAAATTTAAATTTTAATGCACTTTCAAGGTGTTTTAATTCCTCTTGTAAAATTGTAAAATCGTTTAGCAAAATATTTGCGGAACATTTAATAAGAATTTTGGAAAGCAGATTTTGAAGAAGAAGCAGATTTAGCTATCTGTAACCTAGGGAGGTACTTGTAATTTGAATTATAGTATTATCCAAAGGAATGATTTATTCGAGGATGATGACAATAGCTAAGGAGGAATATTGTGGATGAAAATGATGTGTTGCATGGAATGTGTTGATTGTCTAAGTAAGCAATAATGAGTGACCAAGTGTAGTGCTTCGGAAACATGATCGGTCACCACGAGTACAAGCAAGTACTTTGGTGTGTTGAGAGTGTTTCGAGGATCCGTGTTATTGTCGATTGGCACTAAAACTACTTGGCATCTGGTGAAACTACTCGTCATCTGTGTGAATATCAACTCCTCGTCTGGTGAATTTACTCCTCATTCGTGAAACCCTTCTCTTCACTACACATATAGATATAGCAGTGAAGTTGTCTATATATATGTGCAAGTTACTCCCACTTGTAGATATATATGTATCAGTGAACTTGCAGTACGTTTGGGAGATCATCAAGTGGCTCTTGTTGTTTTGATGACCTCGGGCCACCTCTGAAGGTGTCAAGTGTGTTGATGCAAATTCAATCTCATCATTCACAGTGCTAAACGCGTGCATCTCTCAGTGATTTTTAGTGTTGAAAAGTTTTGTGTCTTTTCATCATTACTTTGATGATTTTACAGTAAGTTTTTTTTTTTTGTCATACTATCTGGAACGCGCACGCCAAGCTGACAAGGAGAACGCGTCGTAAACTCGCGCGGCAAAACGCTTCTTCTTCACGACCCAAGGAATCTCTTCTTTACCCACCCAAGATTGCCTCACAGGTAAAGTTGGATTCTGAGTATACATGTAATGAGTTCTTACACTTATTTCAAAGCGAGAACAACGCGTCAGTCTAAAGATGATTTGTCGTTATTGCAAAACCAGTAGTGAGCTCAAAACTCATTCACCTCTCTTTTTCTTCTTCTTCTTCTTCTTCTTTTCTTTTACGATGAGGGATTAGCTTCGATTTTACACTTTGAAATTCTTCACGGTTATATCTCTCTTCACTTTAAAGATATGAGAAAAAAAAAGTGATAAAATTTACGTTTTCGTATTAGGGGAAAAATTTCAAGAAATATTAGGTTATTTTTTTTTTTTTAAATTTTGAATTTTTCATTGCTTCCATTTTTGAGAAATTATTTCTATTTCTAATTCTGAATTAGTGTTTTCATAACACTAAAGATTCTATCAGATTAATCAATGACTTTTTTTTCAGTTATCATTAATTTTAGATTAAAATGATTGTTATAATTGATGTTTAAATATTTAAAAAAAAAATACATTACAATTAAAAAACATTAAATTTTGTTTCCAACAATTAGTGATCGTTTAAAACAATGTTTCATAAATCATCAATTAAATGTTCCAGTCAGCATTCGTCAAAAATTATTACCCGGAAAATAAATTCTATTTTATTTTAATCAGTGGTAATTTTAAAACAATAGAAGCAAATTGCTAATAAAAATTTTATTTTCATTTATTGACATATTTTAAAATAATATACGAAAAGTAATTTAAAAATCTTTTTCCGTTTTCAATTAAACAAAAATTTCATATAGTTATATATTTCAATATACAAGTTAATTAAAAAAAAAAATTTTTTTTTATTTTTTATCGACTATAGAAAATTAATCTTTATATAGATATTGTGTGTCCTATTTTATGACATTTTTTTTTTTTTGTGTATATAAAAATAGGGGGTTTGAAAATCTCATTGAAGAGTTAGTTTGTCAATATCCGCAGAGTAATATTATACCGTAAATTGTACAAAATATCGGATAAAAATGTATCTGACAAATCAACAATCTATTTGTGCTTGTTTTTTTGAATGTCATTTACCTTTTTTTTTTTGAACATTTTCCAAAGCGACACTATATATTTTTTTTTTCCTCTTTTTGCATTCAAATCGATATAAATTCTGATGGGAAAATGTTGTTTGCGTTAAATTCATTTCGAGAAAACGATGAATTATTGGCTCGGCTGAAAAATATTGAATATCAAATATATATATTGATGATTTTAAAATCACATGAATTTTGATACGTTTGATTCAAGAATATTAAAAATTCTATTGAAATTTTAAATGATTGATAAATAATTTGAAAAGTTAAATTAATTTCCGTAATAGTATTTTTCCTTTTTTGATTTTTCTTCTACCTGTCTATTTTATCTCTTATTTTCTTCTTTTTTCCTTGAATGCACGTTTAGAAAAATTGTGTCAATAAATTTTTTTAAAATGATAGATTTTGAGAGATTAAAAATCATCAATATATATATATATATATATAATACGTGTGTCAAAGTTCGTTGTATATTTATATAGGAATGAAATGGAAGAGATGAAACATGTTCTTTAACGGAGGAGGAAAAATCGAATACAGTGAGCGCGATAAGCAGGAAATTCAATAGAAACTGACGATTTCGCTAGTATACACATTTGGTCGAAATAAATCGTCTGCGAACTACATACATATATGAGAGACGTGTTCAAGATATTCCTTGCACGATATTGCGTTTATATTTCGCACTACTATACGAATAGAAACGAAATTGCCCCGTTTTTCCGTAATAAATGGTCTCGGAAAATACATACACATGAAAAAGAAATTGTCACGGTTATTAGATACAACTTTCACTTTGCAAAATATCCATTTTAACCTTCGCGAATTCTTCCCGCGTGTATGAAATATAGAAAACATTTGTTTGGAAAAAAAAAATGCTCCACTCTTTTTTATACTATATTTTTTTCATTTATTGAATTAACTCATTTTTTATTATTAATTTTTGAATACAAAATTTGCTTTTTAAATTTTTATATATAACGTCAAATTTTTGTCTCTACGTATAAAATATACCAAAAAAAAAAATTCTAATATTTATGGAGTTGTAAAATTTTTCGAATAGATTATATTTATTTTTTCTAGTGGAAAATGGAAAAAGAAATTGTTTCAACGTTATGTGAGCGCAATTTTTTATTTTTCATGTATTTAATTAATTTTTGTGAAAATTAAAAATTTTAATAAAAATTTTGTTTTTTAATTTTAAATTTATATAACATGGACATAGTTTTAAAAGAGATGGAGATTTTTTCCCTATTTTTCTGAAAATTGAAAAGAGAGAGAAAAATTTTTTTTTTTTTTTATTTATCTGGATTTATATTTATGGTGAAAGAAATGAAAAATTTTTTATTCACATGAACATATAATCTGTTTCTTTAACCGTAATAAACCTCTGAAGCTTTTTCTAAAATTAAATAGGAAACTTGGGCGCAAATGATGAAAATCCAGAACGACATAATTCGAAGATAAAATGATATGCGTTTTCATATATTTTTTTTTTAAAGAAGAGCTTTTTTGAAATGAAAGCTGCTTTTACTTTTGAATTTTGTGATATTTACAATATATAGCTTGAAGGGGGAAAATGGAACTTGATTCAAACCTAAATCCCCAGCTTACCTGTTCTGTCACAGTCTGCATACAAATTATTTGCTTGCGCTAAAATCACGTAAATCTATGAGTTCTCGAAATAAATATTAAAAAAAAAAAAAAAAAAAACAGTGGAAAAATAAACATGTACTTTTTTTCTGCAAAAAGATCTATTACATAAATGCTCAGTTTGTTTTTGAAGTTGGTATATATATATACAATGTAGAATTTTATAGAGACACAAATATTGCAATCGATAGAACAACTTCACTCACTTTTTCTCTATCTCTCTCTCTTTTTCTCTCTTTCTCTATCAATTTTTATGAATGCGCACTTGAAACTGGTTTCAACGTTTTACCACTCTACAATTAGTTCTTTGCCCCGCGCAGTATTAAGGATCTGCTCGTTATTTTATTGGTCTGCAATTATCGCACTTTTACGCGCACTCTCCATGATTATTATATTTTTATAAAACAAATCTCTCCCGACGTATAATTATTTTAAACGCCTTAAATGGCGGCGAAAAATATTACTTTTCATGATTTTTTACTTTTTTAATGAATTTGGATCTGCGGAAGTAAATATATATATATACATATATCTCAATTAGTAAAAATCACTGGGATTTACTTAAATTTTTTTTAGTATTTTTTATTCTAATTCATAGTTTACTTTACTTATTTATTTTAATATTTATTAATTTTTATATAATTACTATTTTTTAGTATTATTTGTATTATTAGTATTATTATTATTATTATTACAATTTTATAAGAAATTTTTTTTTACACTTTTATTATTTTCAGTAAATATTTGAACATAAATTAACGATTTGAGACAAGTTGTCAATTATTTTAATAGTAGTTAAAATTATTTTACAAAGTGTTAAAGCAAATGATTAATGCGAGAGCAGGTTTCGCGGCTCTTGTATAATTTACTGAGTAAACTTAACACTTAAACCTTAAAAAAATATCTAAATATTTAGAACTCATAAAAATGTAGAAGTTGTTTTTTTTTCCAAAAAATAATTTCTATATCGATTTTGTTAATTTTCATAATTTTGAAAAATAACAATAGAAAAATTGTATTACTATTTTACTTCCACTGTATTCAATTTCAATCGTGGCAATAGAAAAAAAAAACAAAATAAAAAATAGACATGGAAAAATATTTATTATTTTTATTGTAATTACAATAGAGAAAGAAAATAAAAAAAAATAGATCGAAAAATATTTATTATTTTTATTGTAATTAAAATAGAGAAACAAATTAAAAAAGTATAGATGGAAAAAATATTTTATTTTCATTGTAATTACAATAGAGAAACAAATTAAAAATTAATTGAAAAATATTTTTATTTTAGTTACAATAGAGAAAAAAAATATTAAAAATATATCGAAAAATATTTATTATTCAATCGTTTTTATTGTAATCACTGTTTTGAAAAGTAAAATGATTGTTAAAACGGTTCCTGAAAACATTTTCCAGTTACAATTATCATAATAATGATCAAGTATATACAATAAAAGTGATTAATATACACGTATAATAATGGGAAAAAAAATATTATCATAAAGGAATGGATAATATTTTTTTTGATGACCTTAAAAGAGGAATAAAAGTTATAACTGTGAATGAATATTGTGATTCATTTATCAACGTTAGAAATGGGAAAAGTCGGTAAATTCAGGGAAAAATAGAAATAATATTACCTCCAAAGGTATGTATATATATATATATATACAATATAAAATCCAAGTGAAGAATCGCGCGCGTAGGTAGAGGTGGTGGTGTATCATCAAACAAAACTGGTTTTTGAATTCTTTCCTCGCCCTCTCGAAGGATTCGATCAAAAGTTGAGGGAACTCGTCTTAGTTTCAGGTCGAACCTATCTCGACGAAAAATCTATGTCAACTGACATGTTGACACGTGTTCGGACGTAGCACGAGACTCCATAGAAGTCAGGTAACTAGTGTCAGATTTCACTATATTTTTATATGTGTACATGTATGTGTGTCTGAAGCACGCATATTCGCATAAAAACGCATCACTTTTTTTTCAACACACTTGACATTCATTTGAGTCACAAATCAAAAAAAAAAAAAATATATATGCGCGAGAAAAACATACGTGTTTCTTTGCAATAAGCAAAAAGGTCAATGTCATTCTGACTATATCATGTTGCTTGATTTTAGATATGCATTTCATTTTGTTATGATGCCGCTATCGTAGCTTCCATTTTTCTGTCATGATGCGCCTCTATAAAAGACATCAACTCAAATGGTTCATTTTATTTCGCAAAACACTCCTCCAATTGTTGTGTGAGTAAAAAAATTGTAATCTCAATTTTTATCAGG